CCAGGCCAAACCATCAGTCCATACCTGCCAAGTATCCAGATTTTTTCGGGACTATCCCGCAATTTTGGAGGAACTCCCGCGATCCCGAAATTCCTGTCGAATATCCCGAAATTCACTGTACACGAAACAACCTTGATATTGTACTTGGAGCACTTCAAATGACTTGTCACAGGCCAGTATACTGTAGAGTTGTCCTTATTGATTCCGGACCACCGTAGCCTGCAGTACCAGTTGATTTACTACTAGTGCTTCTTCCATGAGCAGTCCCTGAGAAATAGGGACCGGCGGATTCTGCTCGAAAAGGTGGCAGATTCTGCTCCGAAAGCAGTGAAATTGGCAGAACCATACAAACCTTATGGCGGGCCTCGAATTCTGCTCCATGTTTTTTATCCACATACCAAACATGCATGAAAATTACCAGAAAAAGTACCGAATTCTGCCAATGTTTCTGCCGGCAGTAGGCCTTGACGGATTATGCTAATATTTTCGTGAAATTATGCTTTTCGCATTGCTGAAAAAATTGCAGAATTATGCTATTTTTATGCTAAAAGTTATCATATTATGCCGCATTAAGCTCACATATGCTGCTAATGTATAATGGTTCTGTGCAAAATAACAGGGGAATTTTTTTGTAGAGGGCATTGTACTGTAGTAGCAAAAGTTCAATGGGGTCAACGCACTGTCCGATCTAGCTACGACCGTCACTGATTGTAGTGGACTGGATATGTTATCATGGGAGTCGTAAACCTATGACTTCCTGGTGCATCTACTTGTACTTGTACTTGTAGAACATGTACAACTGTATGGAATTTGATGCGAACAGGCGGATTATTCCAATTTATGCGATTCATATGCAATTTGCCTCGAATTATGCGATTATTCGATTTTGGTAGAAATTATGCGAAAAATTATGCTAGCATAATCCGTCAAGGCCTAGCCGGCAGAATCCAACGGAACGAAACGGAACGAAAACGGGCTGGCCTGGAATCGTTTTCAAACCGTTTACACGAAAACGGCAAATCGTTTTGAACCGTTTACACGAAAACGGAAAACGGGCGATCAGGCTGGAGTTAGCACGTGCTGGCTAGGCGCAAGGGCGGGAAGTAACACGTTAGTTGGAGTTCGTAAGTGCTGGTGGTCGCAAAGGTCAGGTATTTCCCGTCCCGCGCGGAATGGTTTCCATGGCCGCGCTCCGTTTCCAATCGTTTTCACTGTTTTCACCGTTTACACGAGAACGAAAACGTTTTGAAAACGTTTTGAAAACGTTTCAAAACACTTTGAAGTGCGTTTCCATTTTGTTCCGTTTAGGTATCGTTTTCGGGCGTTGTCGTGTAAACGATAGTAGTAAACGCAACGATTTCGTTCCGTTTAGGTTCTACTTCGTTGTCGTGTAAACGCAAATCGTTTTCAATCGTTGTCGTGTAAACGCAGCCTGAGAAACCTCCGTTTTTGAGTCTTGAATATGCGTAAGTGTGATCATCGGTCATCTATTATCGAAATTTTGGTGCCATCAATTTTGGTGCCATCAAAAGTTTAAAAAAGGATTTAAAAAAAATGACATATCCCGAAAAACCAAGGCAAATCCCGGGATTTTGCAATGGCGATCCAGAAAAACCACTCTCAGTACTTGGCAGGTATGCATCACCAGCAGGGGCGTCGGAAGGTATTTTAGTGTGGCACGGTCAGCTATCTGAAGTACGATTTACTTGTGGGGGAGTGGTGGCTGAGAGGACAATTTTGGAATTTTAGATCCCAGATCAGTGTATTTTGTTGATTCACGGGGTATCTGGGGCAAAAAGTGGTACGGTCAATACCGTAGTGACCGTACCGTGTGCGACGCCCCTGACCAGGGGCAAGGATACAAACTTACACTACAGAGACGCTTTGTTTCCAGCGCGACAACACCTCGTGAAGCCCCAGGTAGCAGCGCGAGTCAGAGTCGCTCATGGAGTACGAGTTGTGCTAAACAGGGGCTTCACGAGGTGTTTGTCGCGCTGGAAACAAAGCGTCTCTGTAAGTTTGTATCCCTGGTGATGGTTTGGCCTGGAGAGCAGTATAACTTACTAGTATAAGTGGTGCAGCTTTTCAGGCACAATCTTCATGACTAATAGTAATACATGTAGTCAAGTAAGTTTGGAAGGACATAGCCCATAGGTTGTTGCTAATGTTGGTTTGCTACGTGGACGAGTTGGAGTTAGGTGTCAGCCCGTCGGCTCGTTGAATGTATCAGTACTCCTTGTCAGTGTTGTGCCTTGTGGCACTCGCTGCCCGTATTAATTAAGATCTGGTTACTTTGGTGAACAGAAACTGTAAGTAAGTAAAGTTTGCACATCCGTATTTTTTAATCGTAAGCCGGTGGTATAGAAGTTTGGCTCGTGCCAGGCCACCAGGGACAGAAAGTCATAACGTAAACTCGCAACATGTTGCCCTTTCTTTTTATCCATGATTTCATTGGCTCGCTACCCGGCATGTTCAAATGGTGTTAGTACAATCAGACAATATCAATTGTCATGTCTGCAGCTTGAATGTTGTATAGCATATTGTGTACATGTTAAGTGTAGAGGATGCACCGTGTGTAGGCTTTCTTTATTCTCACATTGTTGTTGCTGAAACACACATACAACGCTTAGTTTTCATACTCTTGTTTTGTGCACGCTTTCGTGACGGAATTCACACCCCTTAGCCTACCTTGCTTGCTATAATTATTATTTCCTTTGTTCTGATTTGTTCTCGTACAACAGTGATTCCTGAAGAGTGTTGTACGAAAACCTGTTCGAATCATTTTTTTCCATCGTTCTTTCTTCCTACAAGTATTTCGCTTTCCGTTAAGATTGTTTTCGCATCGTTTCCATCGCTTGACATTGTTTAAAATAATCTGTCCGTTTTGGTCAGCGAAATTGAGCGAATCCAAATAAAATCAACAACGCCTGCCCACACACGCTCTAGACTCTAGGCTGCAAAGTTCTGGCACAGAGCTCTCCTTCTCACCACCACCAATCGAGCTATGTCGTTGCTGTGTCATCTTCTATGTGCCATGCGCTATTTGATGTACCAGCCTGCTATGCCGGATACCGCCAACCATGCATCGACCAGGCGCCAGGCGCGAACTGATGGTGGTGGTGGTGAGAAGGAGAGCTCTCGTGCCAGAACTTTGCAGCCTAGAGAGCCCACACTGTGTGGGCAGGCATGTGTTTACCACCATATTGCGAGGTGTGTCTTTACCACCATATTTATCAACCATAAGTACAGCTGCAGTGGTGTCTTCAACTTCATTCTCCTGAGTCAAGCTCCGTATGAAGACATCCAAGAAGAAGATTTCCTGATGAGTCCAGCGGGGACGAAACGTAGATCTACGTCGCAATCGAGCTATGTCGTTGCTGTGTCATCTTCTATGTGCCATGCGCTTCTTGATGTACCAGCCTGCTATGCCGGATACCGCCAACCATGCATCGACCAGGCGCCAGGCGCGAACTGATGGTGGTGGTGGTGAGAAGGAGAGCTCTGTGCCAGAACTTTGCAGCCAAGAGAGCCCACACTGTGTGGGCAGGCGTGTGTTTACCGCCATATTGCGAGGTGTGTCTTTATCACTATATTTATCAACCATAAGTACAGCTGCGGTGGTATCTTCAACTTCATTCTCCCGAGTCGAGCTCCGTATGGAGACATCCAAGAAGAAGATTGCCTGATGAGTCGAGCTATGCCGTTGCTGCGTCATCTTCTATGTGCCATGCGCTACTTGATGTACCAGCCTGCTATGCCGGATACCGCCAACCATGCATCGACCAGGCGCCAGGAGCGAACTGATGGTGGTGGTGGTGAGAAGGAGAGCTCTGTGCCAGAACTTTGCAGCCTAGAGAGCCCACACTGTGTGGGCAGGCGTGTGTTTACCGCCATATTGCGAGGTGTGTCTTTACCACCACATTTATCAACCATAAGTACAGCTGCAGTGGTATCTTCAACTTCATTCTCCCGAGTCAAGCTCCGTATGAAGACATCCAAGAAGAAGATTGCCTGATGAGTCCAGCGGGGACGAAACGTACGTCGCAATCGAGCCGTTGCTGTGTCATCTTCTATGTGCCATGCGCTACTTGATGTACCAGCCTGCTATGCCGGATACCGCCAACCATGCATCGACCACGCGCCAGGCGCGACCTGATCGTGATGGTGGTGAGAAGGAGAGCTCTGTGCCAGAACTTTGCAGCCTAGAGCGTGTGTGGGCAGGCGTGTGTTTCACCGCCATATTGCCAGGTGTGTCTTTACCACCATATTTATCAACCATAAGTACAGCTGCAGTGGTGTCTTCAACTTCATTCAACATCAACAACAATAATATTAGTACTAGTAGTTAACAGTCCACAACACCATAAACACGTGTGTGAGTTTCTACATATTTGAAAAGGTTGAAAGCATGATTATTGCTTTTATACAATACGAGGAAAAAAGTGAAGAAAGGGTCTGCTCCATGTGAGCTCGCTTTCTTTACTAATTACCGCCCATGTCGCTACATCTAAGCTCACTCCAGTTTTGTTTTTAGAAAAAGGGCCAAGTGCCAACGCTTGCCGAGTGGTACAGGGATGGCAGATTGTTTTTCTCTTTTATGATTGGCACGTCATCCAGTTTTTAGGCTGGCGTCTGCTCTGTTACGTTCGGCCTGCAAGCCACGCAGGTGTCCATTCCGGGACAACACAACAAGCATACGCGCCTGAGAGACGACTCATAACATGAGTATCAATCTATGTCTGGCTTTCTGTCAAGTAAATCGGCTCTTGTTTGGAATTATTTACCAGATGACCTGAAGTCCTGCACTACTATCGCAGATTCCCACGACTTCCGCGTCAAATTGGCTATTTGGCTAAAAGACAGCTTAACTCTTTTAAAATCATTGTTGTGATTTACTTTCAAGCAATGTGCATAATCAGTAAATTGATGTTGCTGTTTTTGTTGTTTTTCTTTTCTTTTTTCTTTTTGGTTTCCCGTTCTCCGGGCCTTCTAAGTTCTATTCGGTACAAGTACTCTTTGTAGTTGTACTTCTGTACTGTTGAGCTATCCGAATTCAAATAAACACTAAAAAATAGAAAAAAAGAGAGAGACAGTTTGGAGAGAGACAATACGGCGACAAACACACAAACAAATGCTCTATGATGCGGTACGAACTGGCAAGAAGCCGGTCATCACTGACTTGCATCACCAGCATGATGAGTGCAGATGACATGCAGCCACTGTGCACGAGGAAGAGAACTACAATGTAGAATGTAGGCTGCAAAAAAGCCGAAAACAAACTGAATAGCGGTAGGCTGCAACTTGACCAGTTGCTACAACATACAGAGAAAGCCGTGCTGCAACTCAGTCCCAGTGCAGTAATCAGCCAGAGAAGTGTATCCGTGTGGCTAAGACTCACTGCACCAGCAGTAGCAGCAGCAAAAGCAGCAAAAGCAGCAGCAAATGCATGTATGTTAAGTATTATCTACCATACAGGCAGCGTATTCTCCATCTCCGGACAGCTACTTGTTTCGACCTTGTCAGGTCTCATCAGCGGAGCTCAGAGTGAACGCGGGATAAATGCCCGCTTACACGACTGTACAGTTACAGAGCCAGAGAAGTCATGGAAAGAAACTAAGAAGCGAAAAAAAGAAAAAAAAGCTTACTGTAGAGATGCCAGAAAGGACAGCTAGCTGAGCACACAAGCAAAGAGAGAAGAAGTGTTTGCGCTTTCATCCGGAACGCTGAAAAAACTGCACGGACATATTCATTCTGTGGCTCATAAAATGAAGGGGGGGGGGTAGCTCAGGAATACGTGTTTATATGTATATAAAAAGGATGAAAAACCTGGCAAACTACCGACCCCTAGATCATCACCTCACAATTAACGTCATCACCCTCCGTGTGTGACCTTGGCGAATCGTGCCTCTCGTTGAGTTTTGAAATTTGCTTGTGGTAGCTGTCAGAGTGGTTTACATCCCACATTTCAGTCCTGAGATAGTAACGGAAAGAGAGAGAGAGAGAGAGAGAGAGAGAGAGAGAGAGAGAGAGAGAGAGAGCAGCAGCAGCAAAGGAGCAAACATGTGGTTAGATATCAGAAAATAGAAGTCTTCACACGCATGACCATTGCCCAGTAAAAATCACGGTTCACGACGAGAGACTCAGCTGGAACCTGAGTTATCCGCATCCGTAGGAACGCCACCACCATCTAGGATCAAAGCGCAGATGCAGCTCCTAAAGCGGTGGATTGCCCGGTAATATATGAATACCATTATTGTTTTAAAAGAGAGGACCATACATTTACAAGTTATCCGTTTTGTCCAACACTAATGATTATAATCAGGGTACTTATGGTCCTCCTTCTTTTAATGTTTATCCTTGGCTCTCCATCCGAGTTGAATTATTATTGTTTAAAAGAGCAAAGGACCTATAAGTGACTAACTATGACTAAAGCAGTCCACCAAGGTAACGAGATAATATACAGTCAGATAGTGCGGCAACAAGGCACAACACTGACAAGGACATTATGACATTCGATGCCCTGACGTGACACCTAGTTCCAACACAGTCGAATGTCTCAATATCCTTGTCAGTTTTGTGCCTCGTTGTCGCACTATCTGACTGTGTAAGATACCGTTACCTTGGTGGACTGTTAGTCATAACCAGTAACTTATAGGTACTTTTCTCTTTACATATTACTACTGGCTCAACATCCGAGTTTTTATTTTTATTATTATTATTGTTGTTGCATAATAATGCTATGCTACAAGAGATGCATGTTGCACAGCAAAATGGGTATGAGACAAATGCCCTCTACCCGGAGTAGCTGACAGCATAATTGGTATGAAACGACTCCCCCCCCCCCCCACCCCAAACACACCCAGGACAACTGACTAATGAATAAGCATGCACTCGTACAAATCAGGCATTATACAGATCTGTTCCACATCATGAAACCCAGACAAGGAATGACCAAGTGACTCGTGCTGACCTAGTTTTCATATGGAAGTGCAGATGGCCCTTACTCCCTAACGGGTGCCGTTGTATGACAGGGTTAGCTTGGTAGATTCCCCTCATAGAACTAGATCTGTTCAAGCACCATAAGGTAGGGTGAAGCAGCTCTCCCTCCCCCCCTCTCTCTCCCCTCCCCCTCTCCCTCCCTCCCTCTCCCTCCCTCTCTCTCTCTCTCTCTCTCTCTCTCTCTCTCTCTCTCTCTCTCTCTCTCTCTCTCTCTCTCTCTCTCTCTCTCTCTCGCTCTCTCTCGCTCTCTCTCGCTCTCTCTCGCTCTCTCTCGCTCTCTCTCTCTCTCTCTCTCTCTCTCTCTCGCTCTCTATCGCTCTCTCTCGCTCTCTCTCTCTCTCTCTCTCTCTCTCTCTCTCTCTCTCTCTCTCTCTCTCTCTCTCAGAGTGTTGTGGCTAGTTTCCACAGCAACAGTCCATACTTACTCCATGTTCTCTTCATGTTGTTTTTCCTGAAGGCGATACATTGCCGAGCGACCTGCAGTCAGTGAAACAAACAAAACGAAAGAAACTTCCAACATGTTCACAAAGAGAACTGACACCGTCAATGTTTCTTGAGTTCTATTCACCGTCAGTATGGGTTATAGGTTCCACCAAGAGTGCACTATGAACAGTTTGAAACACTGATCAATCTTCTACCCACCAATTCAGCATGACCGAGGCACTGCATTCAGTACATCGTTTAGCTTCACTTTGCACCATGCAGAATAATCAAAGTCACACTTTCCCTCGTGGTTTGAAGCTAGCTTTCCGACGAAAGTGGAGTTGATGAGCTCAACATGTAGTCCTTAGGAATTGAACCAAGAGTGTGCAACTACTATCTTGAGCTGCGATGGGTTCACCCATGGCGGAATATTTTATTGCGTCATTCTTGGCAGAAGTATGATGAAGTGCGTATACTTTCCTGCGCTTGTTTTGTAGATACGGTGAGAGGTCATCAGGTTCAAGACACATCGATCTATCGTCCGTTGTTCTGCTTCGACTACCGCAGCTGTAATGTACAAATTATTTGTACTTTGATCTCTGGCTACGCATGATGGCATCAGTGAGCCCAACCGCCGCCAAAGACTGATGTCATAAAAGAATTCAGCCGTGGGCTGGGGGATCGTCAAGTTGTACATTCATGGTTATGTACTCTTGATTGAACGGATCAAACAAAATACTAACGGGCCAACATGAGATATCCTGAATACTGAGCGTATAAGAGTGCATTTAGTGATGCAGACACGTTACATAGTGACCGCAACATGTTGCGCACTGTCCCATGATCACAGTTGTGCAATCTTGCTTCAATGCCAACTCGCGGCAATCACTGAACGACATGGGAAGGGCACCATATTTCCCTACATTGTACCTCCAGCATGATGGTCCATGTCAAACAGCAACTAAGACATTCTTACAAGGGCATCCAGACTTAGTCTTAATCTGCTTATGTTGGACTAACACCAAGCAGGCATGTAACATTGAGAGATGTACGCTTCTCGTTGGCTGATTATTCGAACTATACGAGAAGTATTGTTCTTTCGAGTGACAAACATCTGGAATGCGTGTTTTTGTGTTTTTATATTTTTTATATTATTGAATGTTATGCTGGCAATATGACTGTCTCCAGCCAACCCTGCACTAGTTATGGCTGATGTGAGTGTGAGAAAGAATGTCCAGATCTCATATCAAAGTCCTCTGTGCTCTGTTGGCCAAACACTTACGCTTGCAATGTACAGCAAGAGCAATCAGGATTAAACCGATCACAAGGATTGCACACGCCGACGATACCAGACCAATGGTGACAACGGAAACCTTGCGGCTTTTGGAGGAACTACTGCTGCCAGGCTCTGCATAGTGTAGATGCACATGAAAGACATAGTGGAATATCGTATTAAAAGCATTGTTGTTCTCTGCGGGTATATGTGTGTGTGTGTCCGCTAGTTCGGTTTGTGGGTACACTTCTGCCTGATTGTGTTGGGTCTGTTGCCAACGGGCTCGGCTGCTTGAAGGTGTAATGTTGTACCTGCCACTTTTGTTGGTTCCAGGGTTCATATACTTTCTATTTGAAGTATACAGTCGTCCCTCTCTAATCCGGCACTTGTTTATCCAGCACCCTTGCAAACCAGCACACTTTCTGGCAAAACGGATTTTTTCAGTTCATTTTCTACGCTTTAATCCGGCACTTGAATTCCGCCTCCAGCAGCGATTTTCTGCAACAAATCACTCAAACTGTACATATTTCGATTTTCTAATCCAGCAGTTGTACATCGCATACCGTCAGGGAGCATTGTAACATACACAACACATGTAACATACACTTGGGAATATCCTATGCCGGTGCATAGGATATTCCCAAGTGTATGTTAAAACATGCATTCCACAAAGTACTTGGATTGACACAGAAAATCCCTACGTTTTGACGTACGACACAAACATGTATGTTAACAGGTGGGCCGGGTTGGAGGGCAGGATTTTATAATCCAGCACCCTTGTTTATCCAGCAGAATATGCCGTTGCAAAAGGTGCCGGATTAGAGAGGGACGACTGTACATACCTGTTAACCATGGACTGCTTCTGGCTAGATTAACTCTTGTGCTATCAAGGGTGCTAGTGAAGCTTTTTATTAGATCCACTCTGATTTAGCCAGCCACACTAGTAGCAAGTATTACCTTCACTGGGGGCAGGGGTAGCTGCAGTTGGATCCCGGGACGGATACCCCGATGCCGTCAATCCTTTTTCTGCACCTTGTCCTCACCCACTTACTGAGGTGTGGTGAGCCCATAAGTGGGATCATTTTCAAGTCCACCCTAGTTTGGGGATTTCAGGGGGTGTCAGCCATTGGGTGGTTCAATAGCCAATTGAGTCCTCTGTCCAATATTCCTTTTGAGTCTCTCTTCCCTCTCCCGGGAAGACCCACGTGACCAGTTTTGGCAGTGAGCAACAGGTGTGTGTGTGTGTGTGTGTGTGTGTGTGTGTGTGTGTGTGTGTGTGTGTGTGTGTGTGTGTGTGTGTGTGTGAGTCTCTCTCCCCTCTCCCGGGGAGACCCACGTGACCAGTTTTGGCAGTGAGCAACAAGTACAAGTACAAAGTGTGTGTGTGTGGGTGTGTGTGTGTGCTATGTGCTCTTCTTGCTCCTAATGGTGAGTGGTACTTCACAATTAGTACTCCTCACCATTAGGAGCAAGAACAAGAACAAGAGCAAAGACAGCAGCAGTGGCAGCAGCAGTGGCAGCAGCAGTGGCAGCAGCAGTGGCAGCAGCAGTGGCAGCAGCAGTGGCAGCAGCACCACCATTACCATGGTATGCTACACAGCCACGCATGGAAAGGCGTAACTCACCAATGCAACTTGCAAGTTCCCTAGTCCACATGCCATTCTGCTGACAAATTACAGTCTGGTACACCAGCGGTGGATCACCTTGGACGTATGTTCCTTCGGAGCACATCACCACAATCCTGGTATCAACAGAAATGTGCTGCTGGACACGATGAAGTCCAGAGGAGTTGAAGGTTGTAAGCATAGTATTGTGCGAGTAGAGCAATACTATCTCCACACTGCCATAGGTTGACGGATACCAGCCACAATGACCACCACGCGCGGGAGTGGCTGCGCTACTAACATACGGGGTGACGGGATCACTGGCTGTATCGGTAGATGGGCGTGCAGTGGTGGCGGTGGTGGTCGTAGCTGGGAGTGAGGGGATGGGGGTGGTCGTAGTTGGGAGTGAGGGGATGGGGGTGGTCGTAGTTGGGAGTGAGGGGATGGGGGTGGTCGTAGTTGGGAGTGAGGGGATGGGGGTGGTCGTAGCTGGGAGTGAGGGGATGGGGGTGGTCGTAGTTGGGAGTGAGGGGATGGGGGTGGTCGTAGTTGGGAGTGAGGGGATGGGGGTGGTCGTAGTTGGGAGTGAGGGGATGGGGGTGGTCGTAGTTGGGAGTGAGGGGATGGGGGTGGTCGTAGTTGGGAGTGAGGGGATGGGGGTGGTCGTAGTTAGGAGTGAGGGGATGGGGGTGGTCGCGGTTGGGAGAGTGGGGATTCCGGTGGTCATAGTTTGGGGTGTGGGGATTGCGGCGGTGGTGGCTGTTGGGAGCGAGGGTAAGGTGGTGACTGGCAGACTGGTGGGATCAGTTGTCGATAGCGTGGTTGGTGTATTCTCCATTGCAGTGCTAGATTCAGCGACACCGGTGGTCATGGGTGGCACAGTTTCTGATCTGTCCTCGCCGCTGCTCTCGTCAGCCTCACCATCACTGCAGACAGCACACAGAGTACATGATATACATGTGTTCATGGGTTCAGGGAATGGAAAAGGGAAAACGGTCTGAAGAAAAGATTCACTGTCACCACCAGTCATGTACCTGTATCCTGTAAAGCGGCTAATTTAATCGGGTAAACATTTTAGCGTATTCTGAATCAGAACCAAGAGTCAGAGTTCAAGACAGAAGATGACCAGTACTGCACTGTACACACAACATTTCAAACAGCACGGCACAACTTTAGCGAAAACACTCCTTTCGCTAAAGTCGCAAAAATATCACCGGCGCCAAAATTAGCCGTTTCACAGTATACAGTGTATAGGATTTTTTACAAGCACCAAAAACACATGTACAGTCATGGTTCAAGAAATCCTTCGCACGAGTGTAAAGTAGTGCCGCATTTCCATTTGAATTACATCATACACATTCCAAAACCCGATCCGAGGGCCGCAGGAACACCACAAGCCTTGGCACTGCTGTCGGCACGTGGGTCGGATTTCTTTGGCCACAATTGTACATGTACCGTCTGGTATAGAACGTGAAGAGGTTGGTGCGACTTTGGCGATACTTGGGGAATTGTGTGTCGCTCCCTACATGGGAGCTCGCGCTATTCCTGCCGACTTGAATTTTCACTTGACTTACCCACGACTGCCATCCAGAGCAGACGAGTGGAACGAAAATGGTATATATGCAAAGAAGTGGTTTTTAGAATGGTAGCCTGAGTACCAGGAGCAAGTATTAACGTGTGTAATTGAGTCTTGTTTTGTGTCCACATACTGTCCAGCGGTGAATTTTGCGATTGTTTAATTTTTGCGAATTTCGCGGTGCAGACGATGTCGCGAAAATATGCAGGCGCGCGCGAAACGGAAATTTGTGATTTTGGTCGGAAGTGCCAGCAAGCGCGGTGCACGTCGTTCGTATTCTCGTAGTGTGTACTATGTACATGGAACAACTTGACACAACTTGTTTGACTACAAGCCTAAGTCAAATAGAAGTTTAGAATTCACACTGTACGTCACCAGAATAAGACTAGCGTCATGATCATGTGACTGTGCAAAGACATGCTCAAATAACAGGATCAGCCAATGAAATACGATCAGGCAAGTTAGTTGCTGTGCAGCCCCCAGACATGTGAACACTGGACTTGTGTAGGGCACTTTGCAGCCCCCGGTCCTGGGGACACAGGGTTTTTCCCTGCTATAGGAGACATCGCAAGCCCCAGGTCTGTGAAAACTGGGCTGTGTGCTGTCAACATGTTAGCTACCTTCCGTCAGCTGGTTTTGGTGCGGCCTCGCTGATGGAGTCGAAGCCGAGTTGTGCTGCAGCGATCACCCCTGTACCTGCTGCATTCATAGCATAGATCACTGCGGCGAATGTCCCATTGGCTGGTAAGTTTGAGAGCGTGACGTTTCCCGCAGTGGACGGCAGTGTGATGTTCCTGATGGATCCGCCCAGTAGATACGACACTCCATATTGCGTGATGATTCCTGCAGACAAAAACAGAAGCAACACGACAGTAGTAACGCCTTGTTCATTACCTCAGCTCAGCCTTTGCAGCAGGACTCGAGCAGTTTCGGTCGGTATTCAAACATGCTCCCGGTGGCAGGCCTTGTTGAACATGCACACAGTGGTTCCAGTGACGCATAGCATGCGCGACTCATTAGTTTACATTTGCTTTCCGAGTGATGAGAAACAAAACTAGCATTGCGTGAAGAACGGAAGCGCGAGCAACGTAGCTGGGAGTGCAAGGGGTGTGCGCACGGTATGAAAATTGCAACGCAAGGCGAGAGCCTGTGTTGATGTCATAATCATGGGTTGCAACGACGGTGATGCAATGAAATATGCTGCAGTGCATGTGTGCTCAAACGCTGTCTGAACAACTCACAGCTATTTTGCTCGAATCAAGCATAGTTATTATTGCACCAGCTGTCATTCTCACCGTTTGGTTCCGCCGGTGACAGCCAAGTCAGCAACAGAGATGAATTAGACACAGCAGTCACTGTCAGGTTAGACACCGGGCCTGGTGCTGTAGAGAGAGAACCACACAATGCACAGTAAAACCTGTCAAAGCGACCACTCGGATAAAGAGACCACCTGTCCTAGAAGACCACTGAAACCGGGATCAAGGGATGCTATTTCCAGTGACCCTGGATAAGGAGACCACCTGGTAACGGAGACCACGGTTTGAAGGTCCCTTGAGCGGTCGTCTTAGACAGGTTTCACTGTAGGTCACAAGAGGCTGATGAGCAACACAACACCTGTAGCAAAAATAACCTAGCTAGAAGATTCGTGCCGTACAGCAGCGGCATTCTGAAGAAGAGCTCTTCAAACGATTATAGGTGCTAGCCTTCGTTGTACGTAGTACTCGTACTTTGAGCACGTGACATGAGTTTTCACCGTCGGAGACCCTGTATCCAGAGCTGTGACACTATTTACTCTTGATAATATAGATGACTGCACTGCAGCAGCGCTAATACTTTTCCACGGGGTGGGGTTGTTGCAAGTATTGCATTCAATGCGGATCCAGGCTATGTAGACCCTAGCTGCCCGGCACATCAGCTCACAGAAGCATAACACTGATAGGAGTCGTCGCAAATGTTTTCGTCGTCCCTGAAATGAACGTTGTTCATTTTATACTTGGGCCCCTCCCCTCCCTCTGAAACGAACGCAGCTTGCTATGCTGGAGGACAAAATCGCATTCATGTACATGCCATATGTACAGTGTCGGTCGACTTGCGATTTTGGCTTGCACCCCACCCCCCCCCCAAACGAATGATGTTCGTTTGACCAAAAAATTTGAGACGACCCCTTAGGGCAACAACTGAATGGGTTGAATTGCTTGATTCAGCTTGCAACTCCAACAAGAGTCTCCAAGGTCACACAAGGGTACGTAGGCAATAGGGTAGAACAAGCCCTTACCGCGTGTCTCTCTCTTGTGCAATCATCAGGCAAAAATCATTCAGCCTTGTGGGCAACAAGGTGTTTGCAAGGAAGCTCTGCCCTTTTGGGCATTGAGCACCGTGTAAGCAGAGGACAAAATCTACTGTGTTCACTTGATATGCAACTCATTCAGAACCGATGCAGTGTTTGATTTACAATGTAAAACTCACGTGATTCTAATGTGGTGATCCCAGACGATACGGTTCTTCCAAACGGTTTACCAACGTCATCAACTTGCGTCACCGTTAATGCATATGTGGTGTAATCTCGCAACCTGTTCACCTCGCCGCTCGCACTTGTAACGGTAGCTGCATAGTAAAACAGGAGAAAAACAGCACTCAAGTTGGGTCTTTCTAGAAAGGGAATGGTCCCCATTAGCCAAGCTTCCACAACAAGACAACATTGCCTTTAAAAAAATGTTCACGGTTCACGTCAGACTCGGCTAGAGCCCGAGTTTTTCGCATCCGTAGGAACGCCACCACCCTTCAAGGGTCAAGGCGCGCGTTGCATTGCCTTGAACAGAAGTAATTATTGAAGATTCAAATCATGTCCTTTTCAATGGACCTTTCTCAGAATACTTGTGTCGATCATAGCTAATCATTCTAAATTCTTAGCTCGTGGTGTTCTCATCTCCGTTGTGCTTATACGCTGTTTCGTTGGCTACCTACGTGCACCTGTCCAGCTCGGAGGCACGTACACCATGATTGAAGAGTTGCATTGTCAGTTGTCACGCAGTGAATATATCTTGTAAACCATAGTGGCCACGGGACAACAACAACAACAACAACAACAACAACAACAACAACAACAACAGCATCGTGAGAATAAAGATTTGAAACATCAACAACAACAACAACAACAACATCGTGAGGATAAAGATTTGAAACATCAACAACAACAACAACAACAACAACAACAACAACAGCAACAACAACAACTACTACAACAACAACTACTACTACTACTACTACAACAACAACAACAACAACAACAACAACAGCAGCGACTTACAATGAACAATAATGGATCCTTGTAGCGAGCAGGTGTAACCGGTACATGGGCATAGGCCTGAGGGTGTGTTGCAGTTGACTGTGTTCCACCCTACTCTGTATGCCAACGTGCTGTTGCCGAATGTCTTTGCTGGTAACTGGAAATGCAACAGATAGCAATAAAAGTGCATAACAGAAGAGATTCCACTTCAGAATTTTGATTGAAGGCACTGCCCATTACCACAATATATTTCTACCTTTGCAGTAAATGTTCACTGATCTCCTTGATCCTGGAGACCCCTAGATAGGCTTTTAGCCTTTGGGTATCCTTTATATTAAAAAAACAAATAAAATAGTCCTGGTGGCGACAGTCAATTTTTCCTTCAGACTTTTCCCTTTTCCGTTCCCTCAATTAATTAACATTTATCTCAGGCTTCCCATTGTTCCCATATGGGAACAAGAATTAGGAAATGGATTTTAAATATATTTAAAAAAAGAATTTCTTACGGAACGCAAGCTCCACTGCAGCCACTTCATTACATGAAAATAACCTACACACACCATCCTCAAATCAAGTGGTCTCTTCGCTGCAAATTACTAATGTCTTATTCAAAGATGAGGCATCAGAAACATTATATCGCGCACTCCAATCAAAATTCCATAGCTACGGTTCGTATTCTGTCTCCTAGCATTACTGAGCACTATGCCTTTTCTGTGTGGACCTGTAAGTTGCCACAATCGGCTATCGAGAATGTCCTATACTTTAATGTACCGTAAAGTACCGTGGGAGCGCCCCGTCTCGTGAGAGCACCCCGCCTTGATTTTACAAGCAAGGAAAGGAAAATCGCATAGCAAAGTGCAAAGGCTTATACGGCGTGGCAACCTTAGCGCACTAAGGTCACATTTAGCATGTTCTCGCGAGGAGCTTGCATCTGCTCGAAGGTAAATCGAGTATGGATTGACTGCACAATGTGCCATGCGGGTACAAGGTACGTGCAGTATGACCTACAGTGAGGACACCACCTCCACAACATGACCCCGGAAGGAGGAGATGGTGGGACACTCTCGCGGTACATTACTGTATTACCGTGCAAGGGCACAGTGGTCGATATCGTGGGGAGGAGTGAGTTGAACGAGTCCCACATGCCGATTGAAGGGTGCAAGTGAACCAACGATAGCATGCAACATGCCAACAAGCAGTTTAGACGTCACATACAAAGAACTGAAATTCAATTGTCCTTTGTCCAGCATTCCCTAATGTCACACCAGCTGGCGGCCTCGTAGCTGTACAAAGTGGAAATAACCATGGACATATACACATGCACACACACATACACACACACACACACACACACACACACACACACACACACACACACACACACCCACACACCCACGCACGCATGCACATACGTGAACACACACACACACACACGCACGCACATGGACAGACAGATACACAGATAGACAGACAGACAGATACACACACACGCACGCACACACACACATACACACACACAAAGACATCAGCGGTGATGTGTCTACACATTCTATCTCTTCGCCTACTCCCATGACATGGTAATCCTCTGATCTAAAAGAGGACAACAATTACCTGTGCAGGTCAGTCTCGTGCTCTACCCATAAGTGCAATGCCACGGGGAATTCCCTTACCGACCACTTCAGATATCCGGCAAGAAGCTTGTGATCATTGAACTGTCCATTCGGCAAGTCTGCAAGAAAGCGTCAATCCCCGCTCCTTACATGGTGTTTCCCGAAGCATGCGGTGTACGAAGCAGGTTTGCCGTGTGTACGGTTTTACCTGCTCTCTTGTACTCTGGATGGCAGTAACGAGTCAATCAAGTGTCAAGTACGTTAGCATGAAGAGTGAGTAACACGCAGGAGCAACCAACGTAGTCTATTGCCATCTAAGACTCTATATCAAAGTTCGGTTATTGTTTTTCTTTGTATAGTCATGTACAACGTTTCAGAACTTTCAGTGTTTGCCTTCATGTCCAGTCAGTGACTTAGTCAGTACGTTCACAAGGAGTACACTTCAAGGCTTGGTCTGTGCTGTAGATCTAGATATGACAGGGCCATCAGAAGGCACTCTAGGGTGGTACGGCCAGCCACCTGAGGTACACTCCAGGTGGAGGGTAGGCTGGGGGGCTCTGGTGAAACACTTGAAAATTGAAAGCCCAAATCAGGGCATTTTTTTGATTCGCGGGTAACTGGGGAACAATTTAAATAGTGATACAGTCAATACCGTCGTACTCCAATTTCAGAAATTTTAGGTGCTCAATACTCTCAGTATGAGGGCAAAAGGCCAGGTTAGGTGAACAGAAATTTTAGGTACAGAGAAGCAGTTCCCTATTGGATTATGCGTGTTAGTGTTTGTTCGATGTATGGCGATTTTAGGTGTGAAACAGTACACCGAAAATACTGAAAATAAAGGTACACAAAATCGGTGAAATTACAGTACTGTAAGACGAGATATTTTAACGTCAAATAAAGTTAATGATCTCCGGATTTTAGTGGGTTAGCGAGGTGTAGTTCTAACGAATACTGTCTCAAAACCGGCAAATGACTGTACATGTACATATTGTTTTATACTAGTAAACAACGGCTTCAAATTTTAAACGAATTGTTTATATTCGTTACATCGTTAGAACTAAATGAGTCCTGGTGGTGACAGTCAATTTTTTCTTCAGACTTTTCCCGTTTGTGTCTTTCCCTCAAACTAGTCAAGAATTAAATCTTCGTTAAAGGGGAAGTTAAGGCAAAAATTAAAATTTCACCAGTTGTAGTCTTCGGGGTACTGAGTCGAATGGTCGTGGTCTGAGGAAGCTGAGACGCTCCATTCCTGCTTGAATCCCAATCGAACTCGCGCACTTCCACCGAAACTGGGTGACTGCGCCCTACTAGATGGGGATTTGTATGCAAAATGTCACTAAAAGCGCCATTTCGTTCTTATAAAAGCACGGATGACCGCGATTGGCCCATATGTTGTAGTCTTTTGGACGCTGAGTCGACTGGTTTTGGTCCGAAAAGGCTGCGATGCAGCGTTCCTCCTTTATTCCCAATCGAACATGGTTGAAGAAGCGGTCACGTGCTCCTGGGTGCCCAAATCACCTGGTCACCACGCCAGCAGGCGACAACTTTCACACCAAGGTTCAACTCGAGTTCAACTCGAGTGACAGGACTGCACCCAAAAAAGGTCAAACAGGCTAGTAAGTTGTACCCTGCAGGCACGGTGACCAGGTGACTGGTGTACGCAGGAGCACGTGACCACTTGTTCGACCATGTTCGATTGGGAATAAAGGAGGAACGCTGCATCGCAGCCTTTTCGGACCAAAACCAGTCGACTCAGCGTCCAAAAGACTACAACATATGGGCCAATCGCGGTCATCCGTGCTTTTATAAGAACGCAATGGCGCTTTTAGTGACATTTTGCATACAAATCCCCATCTAGTAGGGCGCTGTCACCCAGTTTCGGTGGAAGTGCGCGAGTTCGATTGGGATTCAAGTAGGAAGGGAGCGTCTCAGCTTCCTCGGACCAAGACCATTCGACTCAGCACCCGGAAGACTACAACTGGTGAAATTTTAATTTTTGCCTTAACTTCCCCTTTAACAACCGTGGATCTTACAGTAACCGTAGCGTGTCCGACATCCCTGTATGGTCGGCTCTGCCACTAACCTGCGTTCTGGCCATTGCTTAGCATTACCACCGCCAACAGGACCATTGCTGCAAGCAGCCATTGCGGATGCTTGACGTAGGCCTTTGCCATTGCGCTGCAGCGGGCAGGTAATAGAAAAATTCAATTGAAGGAGGGTTTAGTCGGAGAGAAACGTATTTAAAAAACACATAAAACAAATTTTAAACACGCATGGAGACAAGCTAGTTGTGAACCTGATGAGGTATTTCGTACCATTTTTTCTTAAGACAGTAGTCAATGTAACAATGTCTATTTGCACAGCTTGGTGGTGTGCATGTACTGGTGTTAGACGATAAAAATACAGTGGAACTCGGATAAGACGTACCCCTCAGGTAGTGGAAAAGAGTGTTCGTATACTGTAGCGTAACGTCTTGTACAAAAGCCTGTCTCATATGGAAGCCTTTTTTGAATACAAGCCTGGTTTTCAAGTTTCACTCGCTGACATCGGCTTCAACAGGAACAAGCATGGGCTTTTATACGCGGCTTCACGGTATGCGCTTATGGGAGGAAAATCCGTGCGACGAAAAAGGACCGTACTGCAGTGTAAGCAGGTGTACGTCTTACCCGGGTACGTACCCAATGAGTTTCACTGTCGATAGAATTCATACACACACATGTAAATATATCACAAGTAGTTACGCGTGTACTCTGACTACGAACCATTCTCGGGAACACAGAGAAAAAAAAACGACGGTACGTTATGTAGCCCAATGGAAGTGAGTGCTCGCTTTTCGCATGCATTGTATTTGCCAATGTTCAATGTTTCACACAGTACAGGTGCGTAGCACTGCCATTGGGGGTGGTCCGGCCAGAGGGGGTTGGGGTGGTCCCCCCGGAAAACATTTCAAATTAGGGTGCAAAATCCTGCATCCTGGGCGCTTTTGGCCGTGGTCAGGCGAAAACGTGGTCCGGCCAAAGGCTGACCGGCCGGACCGGCTGCTACGCCCCTGCAGTAAGCTGTTTCGGCCATGAGACCTCAACAGTACGAGTACAGCTACGATCCGTGACAGATAGCCAGTTGCTACCATCTGCATGGGGCCCAATACCGAAAATCACTGATCGCACAGAGTTCAAAACTTCTATGTGTGTGTGTCTGGGGGGGGGGGGGGACTACAAAGTACTGTAGGCAGTCAATATACTCATTCATACACACTACCATACACTCTAGCTGTCGACATGTCGCGGATATGCTTACTCAAGTGAAAGGTCCCCTAGCCCTGTGTGCTCAGTTCAACTTTGCCCACGCCCCTGGGTCTGTCTACCTACTGAAAATACCTCGAGGCTGCTTACCGTATTATCTCTAATATAAGCACGGTCCTTTATTTTTTCAATGTACCTCCGCCCCATGCTATTAATAGAGACGTTCCTTTATTGGAGACTGTTCCATTATTATTTCAACCTCATTTCAGAGGCATGTTGCCATGCCAAATTCATGTATGACACACACATTTCAGGTTTTTTTCCCCGGTACAGATAATGAATTTACACAGTGTGCTTATAATGGAGACTGAGCACTTTATTTTTTGAATGCCGCCCCAAGGTGTTCTATTATTGGAGACGTGCTATTATTGGAGACTGTGCTTATATTAGAGATAATACGGTATATGTGAAAAGGACCTTCTGAACAGGCATGCACGAGGTGGTCTGTACGTAAGAAAAATACAGTCGCCTCAGTTTCGAATCCACCCAATACCAATAATAATGGTAGTACAGAACACAATAATAATTATTTCAAATTTTTTACTACACAACGCAATGAAGTAAAACCAAAATATGGTTTCCTCCCTGCTTTCTCAGTAACCCTTCTAAATCTAAGTTCTAAACCACGGCATAATGTTTTGTTCGGCGGGCGACTTGAAATCGAAAGAGCTCTGCTTACACAGTTGAAGTGCTCCTGGCTTGCTCCCATGCCCGGTCTACTACAATCCACTAGATGTACAGAAACCTGACCGGCAGCGCTTGCATCCATGGTGTCCATTTTCTGTTCAGCTCGGAAACGACCGTTAGCATAGCGTGGGAAGATAGCGGAACACCTAACCTTTTCCTTGTCACCAATAATAATTATATCCTGGACCTCAGCAGAGAGACGAAAAGTGAAACGAAACTAGTTACTTCCACGGTTGATTCTTATCTCTGAAAGGTTTGACTCTCGTGAAGAATTAGATGTTCGCAGCTGAGCACAAAGCTGGCCCAGTAGAACTACTATTACTAGCGTGTTGCGTAGACGGGTGCAAAGTCCACCAGCTTCACCTGACGACTCAGTGGCGAGTGAGCAGTGCTGAAATGGTCGCGCTGTCTACACCCACACATTTCTAGTGTGAATGGTGATGTCTCATTATTTTTCGCGCCTTCTGATCTGCCACCTGACAGTGACCATGGTGACGTGACACGCTGTCCGTACCGAGTTACTTCCGCTTTTGCAGAACCTCTTTCACACTCACACTGTCAGTGCAACCGACCCTTTCCTCACCTTTCCGTAATCTTCGCTGGCTGTTCATGCACAGCCGCTATGATAGTACCTAAACGAGCTGCGTTACAAGACTCACTCTTCCTTTTCAGACACTTCTGCCTTCGACCGGCGCCTACACTAGGCTACAGACTACAGTATATCTACTGGCACTCTTAGTAAGCAAGTAAGCAATGCATTGGATCACAACACAGCTTATTCCTTACCTCCTGTCGTCTTGGATAGGAAGAAATTTTGTTGCTGATGTTCCCTTGCTCTCTGCTCACCAGCGATCGGGAGGAACGTTCAATTTTCCTGCCTGATGGCAATTGCGAACTGCAGGACAGCTATGTGTAGCCAATGTTGCATTGAGGTCTCGGCACTTGGTTGGTTGGTTCACACTAAACGGGAACTAGGTCCAATGATATGAAGGCGGATGGATAAGCCGCATTTAGAAAAGAAGGGACAGGAAATTGAAAATTACAGAAGAAAAAGTATCTAAACTAGTAAAAGAGGAGTCAAGCGAGTATTAGGCCTTCACTGCTTCAGGGGTGACTGGGTGGTCAAGAAGAGCTAGGGAGAGCAACAACATGGTAAGCAACGTGTGCTAAACTTCTTCTGTCTTGCTATGGTCCGAACGTCATCCGGCAGCAGGTTCCAGAGTGCACATCCTGCGACGGACGGCCGAGAAGCGCCTGAGCGAGTGGAGGATGGCTGACTGAGCAGACCACTTGACCTCTGATGACGCCAATAATAACGGGTTCTCCTGCCAGCATGCTAGCATGCTAGCAGGTCTGACGAACAGTCCGGACAACGACTACATCAGTCTGTCCAACCTTGCCACCATTCCAATGCAGGACACCCTTATACAATGTATAGAAAGGCAATTCTCTTCCATGTCAATGTATACTCGTGTTTGGGTCCAAAGCAGGACTGTCCTGCTCAAAGCAGAACGGTTGGACAGCCTGCTACCTGGTGGCACTAGCCTTCCCGTGAAGGCACCTCCAGACAAACGCTGCAAGTGCAAAGAAAGTAGCTTGCGCTTGCTGAGTTCGCCTTTCTGGTACTTTCTGGCACACTTGAACTCGAAGCGTTGTCAATCTGGGGTTCAGTGCAGTAGTGACCACTGACCACCGCAAGCACAGGCCAGGCATTAGATACAAAGTCCGATTCCTCAACTAAAGCCTCTGTGCGTTTTTTGGTCCGGCCATCGTTCATAACGAGCCACGCTGATTATGGCTGACGCAAACCAGCATCGGTGTTGCACAGTACGAGCTCGCGGAGTCGTGTAGCTTTCCAAGTGAAGATGACCACGCATTCTTCGTCGTGCAATCCCGTAGTAAGCTGCCGTAGTTTTGTTTACATGAGGTAGCTACCTCTATTAGTGCTTTAGTTGCTGGCTAGGTAACTGAGGTGGAAGGTGGGAAACTGAGATTCTTTGTTTCTGTGGAGTTCGGAGTAAAGGAAGTACGCTACAACGATCAGGGCAAACTGCGAGAGTCAGGGCAGAGTCCAATCCAAGCCAAGAACAACATCAAGGTTAGTACTAAGTGAAAGGTTTTGCGGCGTGTTGTGTGTGATAGTCATCTTGGAAGCATGATACAGTTGGTCAGAAAAAGGCAGATACGTGTACCGTATTATCCCCAATAAATGTACAGTACAGGTGGTCAGACCTGTACTACTACTAATAGGAGACTGTAGACGAGGCGGGTACTTTTAATATTTCTGGAAAGATTGATTGTCTGGGTTGGGTCGTAAATAAACAACTCGTGATAATGATACTGTAAAGCTGTAAATACATCCAACCGTGGTAAGAATCAGTGTACAAAGACACAACGATGATAAACGGCTAAGAAAAACGAAGTAAGGTGGACCCTAGACTAGTACTAGCTGTGCCCCACGCCCAGTATAATGCCCATCCTTTTTTTTGTTGTTGAAGTTTTTGGACTACAAAACACTGGAAATGGTTTTTTCGGCACATCCTTTTTTTTCGGTTTTTTCGGAAAGGCACAACCGAGAAAATATTCTGAAATTCGGAAAACACACATGGCGTGTGCAACAGTCTCGTACAATACAGTGTGCAGTGCAACAATTGTACGAAAATTAAAAATTCTGCCAGCGCTCTTGACCACTCACCCGCATCTTGCACGAGGATGGATTTTTCAATATTTTTGGAAATCACGGAACACCCCTCAGAGGCATAACAAAGTCAAGCCAGCTAACAGTACAGGGATTGAGTATAGAGATGTTTGAGTAGTGCCAAAACAGCCTGCGTTCTGCCGAAGTGTGTGTGTGTGTGTGTGTGTGTGTGTGTGTGTGTGTGTGTGTGTGTGTGTGTGTGTGTGTGTGTGTGTGTGTGTGTGTGTGTGTGTGTGTGTGTGTGTGTGTGTGTGTGTGCGTGTTCACTGCAATAGATGACTTGCTCAAAGATCCGAGCCGCGAGTGAGACGGGGCAAGTGCACCCTGTGCACCGAGGCTACACTGCGGGCACCCTACACCGTCTGTACTGTACTTTTTGTCAGCATGATCGATGAACGGTGCACGGCATGTACATGTACATGATCAGTACCGTCACTGTCTTCAGCAGCTCATGAGTCATGCATGTGCACTTGTAGGGTTAGTGGAAGTACATGACTGTACAATATTATTATGTGAACAGAAGCCAGGCGTCCAAACCAACCCAAACTACCCTTCTTCGGTGAAATAGTTATAAAAAAATTGTCTTACCAAACAACAGTGAGCATAGAAGCAACCTCGATGCACTCTATAATATGGCATCCGGGAACAGCAAGTGTTGCACGAGGATCCCAAGAACACGTCAAGTTCCATGCTACCCGCCGCCATTAAAAGAACGAAGGATAACTGTGCTAGCCTAGTTCATATTCAATGTGACGCTAACGGTACGGGATATAGGAGCCTGTTGGGAAGGCGTGGGTGCAGAGCTGTAAAATCTTGTACGGTTCGCACATCACAACATACATGCAGCAGTTATTGCGACGGTTAACGTCGATGGACGAGAGTCATAAAGCACAGTCTATGGGGGTGACGTTTCTGTGCTTCCTTTCCGAAAGGAAAGTTTTATTTCTTCTCAAATAGAGCAGAATCATGCTGATCATACCAGTCTGTTATGAAGACAAGAAAGCAGCCATGGACATTGTGCCATTCTAAAGGAACGACAGGTAGGCCTTGACAGATTATGCTAGCATAATTTTTCGCATAATTCCTACCAAAATCGAATAATCGCATAATTCGAGGCAAATTGCATACGAATCGCATAAAATTGGAATAATCCGCCTGTTCGCATCAAATTCCACACAGTTGTACATGCTGTATAAGTACAAGTAGATGCACCAGGAAGTCGTAGGTTTACGACTTCCTTGAGAACATGTCCAGTCCTAGGGTTCCCAGTAAAAAGGCAACGCCTGTTGGGAGTTCCCTAGTAAAATAATAAATTCTACTACTACTACTACTACTACTACTACTACTACTACTACTACTAGTCCACTACAATCAGTGACGGTCGTAGCTAGGTCGGACGGTGCGTTGACCCCGTTGAACTTTTGCTATTACAGTACAACGCCATCTACAAAAAATCCCCTGCTATTTTGCACAGAACCATTATACATTAGCAGCATACATGTATGTGAGCATAATGCGGCATAATATGATAACTTTTAGCATAAAAACTAGCATCATTCTGCAATATTTTCAGCAATGCGAAAAGCATAATTTCACGAAAATATTAGCATAATATGTCAAGGCCTAACGACAGGTAAATTATAAAGCACTTCATCTGAAAACTCAAGGACTATCCATAAATACAGCAAATGATACTCCAAGCCTGGTAATGTTCAACTCCGTCATGTGAGCCATTCGGTGAGTTATCATAGGAAGCATAATGTTCAAAATGCTGAAATTTGAACAGTTGCAGTTGTGTTCGTTGCCACACAATGCCATCGCCAGTTCACATTCGAAATGTAGCCATTTTTAAGCTTGTGTCCCTGTACACGGCATGGAAGGTTGAACAGATTCAACTCTTCCATCGCTTCCTGATCTGTACAGTTGTGCGGTTGCGTTCCCGTTCCCGACACTCACATCCGTCTCCGCTAACCAGAATCATGAGCACTCCAATGGTTCCCGCCGCTCCTTCTGTATCGTCCCAGCGCGCCCCGTCAAAATGTGAACTACTGTAGGCAACGGAGCCAGTGTATGATGAACGTGAATGCACTGTTTGATGATGCTCCAACAAATCCTTTCACCGTTGTATGGAATTTGCAAGAAGAGTAGTGGCTCAACTGTAGGTCCAACGCAGAAGGTACCTCACAGCGCAGTTCTGTTTAGTCCACAATAATGAACATACTCAGCAGACTGTGATGTGTATCAGACACACTCTGGCATTATTTGTTCCACATTCTTCCAGGAGGAGATAATGTAGTTCAATCATGTCTTCAGTACATGGGGTACTGTTGCCTCGTTTCAACTAAACGGGTATGCAAGTTACTTTCCCATTAGACCCAGCCGGAGCCGCATCGTCGTCATTACCAGCTAATCATGGAGAGGTATAATGTGACTTTCCACCACTCTCTGGTTCAATCATAGTTTGCGAGCCTGCGCCAAACTGGTTTCTCACTAGAGCCAGGCAATGGATACATATGGCTTCAGTAAGGTTTACAATGCTATGTCTCTGGCCTAAGTCCAAGTCTAGATACAGCTGCTCAGAGTCAGGGCTGATGAAATGTTCATATCGGAACAAGTGAGACTTCAACAGTAGCTAGTACACATCAGGCCAGAGGACTTCGCAGCGTTTCTCCAGCACACTTGTTCTCTCCTTCAACTCAGATACTACTTGAAGTACTACTAAAGGCCATCTGGCTCTCACACTCAGTCCTTCCACCCTTCATTTTCGTGGTTTGGGCTTCCACTCGTGACTCGGCAGGTTCCTGGCCTCTCCGCAGTCTGTCCTCAGGAGAGGGTCGCTCTGGAGCTAGTGCAGCCGAATCAAAGGGAATCGAGTTCTTTCTCAGACGTGCTTGTTGCAGCCTACACCAATGATACTAAAATAATATTCTCTCATTTTTCTGCCTCCCGGCCGGCCGGCTCGGCAAGGAACGTATCGAATGGGAGCCTCAGTTCCATCTTTCGTCTGCTAGTGCATTCAGGAGCGCAGCAGCGCTTCGGCATGACGATACAAGCCGAATCAAAACAACTCTACTCTCTAGCCAAAAAAACTAGCTCAGTGTTCGTCAGGCAAAAAGCGAAAGTCACGAACTCAAAAGGTGGGGAAGTCAGAGTCAGAAGGTCCACTTGCCCCGTCTCGAACCCAGACAATCTTTGTGCAAGTCATCTATTGTGTAATAACTTGTTAGTGCGTCTTAGATACGGGTCTACACAGCAGATTATATTCTGCAGACAAGAATGTTGTGCATGATTCCGGTAATACGTGGAAGGGGAGGGCACCTTTAGCCAGTATCAGTTATACTGCAGGGCTTTGTCGTCACTTCCTGTCGAAGGCGCGTGAAGATTCTCCATGATGACTGCATCTAAGTTACAGTACAACCTGCCCCCTCTATCTGAGATGTGAGGTGCGGGCAATTCCTAGTTTGCGTAATGCCCGGCCTCAACCATGTCAACTCACATCTCACATCGTACGTTTTTGGAGCCATTTTTCGTCGAAAACAATTGTTGGTCACTCTAGATGCGTCAGAATAGGGCCCGATAGATGCAAGTGCCTGGGTCCGGGTCCGGGTCATACAGATGAGGGACGTTGTACTGTATGTCGAGACCTCTACTTCCCTCACAGTCGCTGGAAATCCCCACAACTGTTGTAGATCTGCGCAGCAGCTCTGTGGATAATGTCCGAATGTGTTCTCTCTGCTGCTCCTTGTAGCTGAAGCAAGATGGCAAGAGTACGTATGCTAACAGCGCTACTAGCTGTAGTCCTTCTGTACTGCAATCTTATTCAAACCGGTAAGATGCCATATGCCCCCCCCCCCCCCCCCTCTCCGACCATGCATTCTCAGTCTCTGTCCATTTGTGCATGTATGAGGCCAGCCAGGGTTTGAAGACACACCAGCTTGCATCGTTGTATCAGCTCCTGTTTATGTATCAGCCAGTGTTTGTGCATTAGCCCAAACATTTGATGATAGCTCTGCTCCTGTGGGACATAGGTGATCTTGTGTTGTTGTCGTTCTACACTTCTTCCGCTGCTGATAAGACCCTCAGTCTTTATCTATTGTAAAATAGAACCAATGATGGCAGCTAAGCCTGGAAAGTGTGTCCGATTCACCGTCGACGCTATATGCTAAGTAAATGGGAGAATGTCATAGAGCTCTGGTCAGTCAAGGCGTATTCCTCGCACATTCTTAGAACCTTTTTGAACTGTGGGATGATTGATGATTCAGAAGTGCAGTCTTTGGCCAGGTGTAGTATTAGTATTACTGAGGTCAAACTGGAGATCAAGAGCAGCCTTCCAGTAACTCGCAAGCATTGGCCTCTCATTCATGCACTGCCATTGCACATAACTAAGTATTTGTTTTACT